GTTTTGGGAGATTTTTTAATTAGAAATAGTTAAAAAAAACCAACTACATTTTTTTAGTGCCACAAGGAAAAAAATAAACTTTTTTAGTTCCTTATTTTGGCCTGAAATACTTCGGATAAATGTCTAATGATGCTTAACAGATTTTTTCCTATCTCTACTTTTTCCAGAGTTCTTTTCGGGCTCTGAAAAATTAAATGAAAACTGACAGATTTTGTTCGTTGTTTAACTAGTTTGGCACTTTGGTAAACATCAAAAACTTTTACTTCGCGTAAATCTTCACCACCGCTTTTTTTTATTTCCTTAACTATTTCATTGTAGTCAAGGTTCTCAGAAATTATTAATGATAAGTCTTTTTCACTCACCGGGAAGCGAGAAACAGGTTGGTAAAAAATTTGTGGCGGATTATTAGTAAGGTGAGCGAAAATTTTAGTTAACGAGATTTGGGCAAAAAGTATTGGTTTTTTGTTCTCGCTTCCTAAATAGCCAATTTTTTCTTGGCCGAGAAATATTTCTCCTTTCAATTCACTATTTAAATCGGAAGCAACAGGAAGAAAATTAACTTTTTCCAACAAGAGAAAAAGAGAAAAAATATTTTCCAGAGCTCCTTTTACTCAGGCTAAATCTATTTCTTGAACCAACTGATTAAACTTTTGGTCGAGGATTTTTCCGGTAGCACTTAAAATCAGTAACTCCTCTTGGTAAGTTCCTGACGAGATGGCAGAGTAAGTAGAAGAAATTTCAAAAAATAACAAGTCTTTGCTACCATGAGTTAGGTTATAATTAATCGTTTTTAGGTGGCTGGGAATTGGAGTTTGCCGGTAAAATTGGTGATTTTCACTTTTGGGGGATAACACTCGGTAGTTTTCCTTATCTAAACAAGGGGAAAAATCTTGGGCTTTTTCTGTTTCGGAAACTAACGAGTAAGTAATAATTTCTTGCCAACCATTACTAACTAAAAAGTTTCGAATTTTTTGCTTTTCTGCTCAAAAATTATTTTTTGCTTCTTGGGTTTTTTTCTGCCCAGTGAGCAAAGAACTCGGTATTTTGTTATAATCATAAATTCTTAATATTTCTTCCACTAAATCTTCGGCTCTAGTAATATCGAGCCGATAAAAAGGAGGTTTAAGGTAATAAATTACTCCTTTCTTACGAAAAGGAAAATTTAACCTTTGTCAGGTCTCTTCCAGCCAAGCCAACGGAAGAGAAATCCCGACCCTCTTTTTGAGGAAGTTTTCACTGAGGGCAATAAGCGGTTTTTTTTTTTTAGTCGGGGAGGAAGCGGAAACTATTGCAACTTCTTGCTCGGTCAATCCTCCTAATTTTTTCAGGAGAGAAATTAGGTATTGAAGGGACAAGAAAGGTTGTCCAGTCAAATTAACTTTTTTGGTGCATAATTGACTAGATTGAGTTGTAATACCAAGACGAAAAGCCGTGGTTTTGAGGTGAGAAGTGGCAAAAGTTCCGCACGCGACAAGTATATTGCGAGTTTGCGAAGTTATTGCTGTATTTTTAGCCCCAATAATTCCAGCTAAACTAATAATCTTTTTATCCGCACCAATTACAATATCCTCAGGATTGAGTATTAGTTGTTGTCCGGAAAAAGTAATTATTCGTTCTTTTTTGTGGGCTTGACGCACTTCCAGAATCGTTTTGGGAGGCAAGGTATCGTAATCAAGCAAGTCAAAGGGTTGTCCGGTTTCTAACATTACTAAATTAGCCAAGTCAACTACGTTATTAATCGGACGAATATTATTAACTACTAAGATTTTTTTTAAGGACGAAGAACTTTCTCCAATGCTAACATTCTTGATTAACCCGCAATGAAATTCGGAACAATTACTAGTAGCAATACCAATTTTCACCGGGTCTTTTTCAGAAGCTTTTTTAGTTGGAAAAGAAGGTAGTTTGATTTGGCAATTTAATAAAATACTAATTTCCCGAATAATTCCTCACCACGCCAATAAATCTGGGCGATTAGCCAAAATAGTAAACTCTAAATATGTATCTTCATTTTGGCTAAATAAATTAGTTTCTAATCCCCGAGCCGTTAATTGGGCGGCTACTTCGGCTGGTGAGAGTTGGGACCAATCAAAATAGCGAATTAAATATTCTCAGGGTATTAAAGGCATATTTTTCTTTTTTGGTACGGGATAAGGGACTCGAACCCTTAACATCTAGGTCCTAAGCCTAGTGCGTCTACCATTGCGCCAACCCCGTTTTTTGGTGTTCCATCCTAACAGTGGAAAGGCTACTATGCGAAAAATTTGTCAGTATCTTCCCTTAAATACTAGAAAACTAGACAAATTATAGCAGACATCAATTTCGTATTTTGTAATAAATGGTGTCCTGCGGAGGACTTGAACCTCCCACATCTTGCTTAAAAGGCAAGCACTCTACCGGATGAGTTAGCAGGACTTAATTTTATTTTTAGAGAGGATACTTCACTATTTTTTACTAAAAGAGAAGCATTTGTGAGTTTTTATTACTTTGAAATAAATAACGAGCACCAAGTCATTTCCTCCCCAAATTGGTTATTGAATAAGTTTAACTCCATAAATTTCGCAATTAACAAAACAAAATAAAAATGGCAATTATATATAACTTCACACCAAACAAAGCGACCAGTTATTTTTTCTAAAAAAAAAGTTTTAGGAAAATTTTTAATTAAAAATAGTTATTACATCAGGCAAAGTTATTTGACGTTTTTATTTTCAACTAAATTACTTGAAGTAATTTAAAAAGAATATTTTGCCCGGGTAATAAAAAACCAACCATATTTTTTTAGGGTAATTTTGCAATAATTTTTTGCAATAACTGCAAAAAAT